ATGGCATCATCGCACCCGCGGTGTGGTGTCGCGATGGCGTCCTCACTCTGACCGCTGTGACGTCGGCGATCACATCTTCCTACCGAGGGAGTGTGGCGTGGGCTATGGCGCCCCCCACAGTGTGACAGTGACCGAATCGGCTGCAAGGTGGACCCTGCGGGTTTGGGAATCTGCAGTGTCACTTTCCGCCCGTGGAAGTAAAGCATGACTTCCCTGTCCCCACGTCACAATGCACCTCCCCATCCGCCCTGTCACAAGCGGGGTTCTCTGGCTACGGGACGTTTCTTGTGTCCTCATTGCACGTGGGGTCCCGGGTGGGTGGCGGCAGCGCGGCTGTCGTGGTCCCGGGTGCGCGTGTCCAGCAGGGGCGTGGGGACCACTCCTAGTGACCCGATGTCCTGTCTCGACAGGGGAAGGTCACGCAACTTTCTCTGCTGAACAGTCCAGCGTGTTTACCGCCACGTCCCCCTTCTGATGTGTGTGGGCGACCTCGCGAGCACGTGTGTTTGCTGGACGTGCCCTCCGCGCAGACTCTCGCCTGTCACCCCGTCTCCGAGCCCTGGCCCTGCGCTCGGGAAGGAGGGGGTCCTCCAGGAAGGAGCCGGGGAGGCTGCGGGCGACTTGAAAGGAGCGTCCCGTCGCTGTCGGAGCACAAAGGGGACGGTCACCGGGACAGGACTTCATGACCCCAGGGAGGGCCGCCCGGACGCCGGCAGAAACCACAAAGCGGCCCCTGTGGCGGCGGGTCCCCACACGCAGGGGACGGATTACGCGAGGATTAACGTCCCTAAATCCGCGGGCTTTGTCACTCGGGCTTGGCTGCTAATCGTGTTTGTCCCCGGTCCGGGTTCGTGTCCGCAGTCAGGGGGGGACTCCTGTCCCCGTCACACCTGTCACCTTCGAACAAGGTCGCCACGCGGGGGGCGGGGGAGAACCAAGGTGACAGAGAGCCCCATGCAGGCCCATCGGGAAGGCGGGCTCAAACGCACCCTGCCACCCACGCCCGGGACACTGCTCCTGCGCCCCCGCCTCTGCGCCCCCAGCCCCGCGGGGCCAGAACTCGGCCCACGAGGCCCTCGGCGGGCGCTTCCTTCGGTGAGTGACGGGGCTGGCTCCCGGGGCCCCTGTACTTTCAGGGAAAAGCGCCGCCCCCCACCTGCAACAGCCAGTCTGGCCGCTGAGCAGTCCTCTGGCCGTTTGTGAGGTCGAAGTGTGGACGCGATGTCGCCGATGGTGCGGCAGCAACACCACCCTCAGCTCGGCCGGGTCACCGCGGAGTTCAAGCTTCGCAGAGCAACAAAGACTCTGCCGCCGCCTCGCTGCGCCCCCACACGCTCCAAGCCCCTCTGCCGGCCGCTGAGTGTAAATCATTGTGTCCCGCTCCTTGATGACCGCCGGCTTTGAGCTTTTGTTCCCTTAAAGTGGGATCACGTAGTGAAAGGGGCTGGGGATGAACAGTTTGACCCTTCAGGACAGTTCACGCGGTGGACAGCGGCGCCCTGGTCACTACCCTCACTGAGGCCAATCGGCCCTCCCGGCCCCTCCCCCACGGTTCAGCCCCGCTGCATCCGGACAATCTCGGGGACCACACAAGTGCCTCTTGAATTCATTTAAGTTAAAAGAGGAAGAGTCCAGCCAAGGACACTGGCGTTGGTCACGTCTTCGCAAATCTGACTGCAATCAAATCGCTTTCTTTCAGAAACCAAGAGGAATGCTGATCACAGAATTCTGGAACTGGCTTCCCCACCGCACTAGCTTGTTACATTGTGTGTGGTGGCATTTCTTCCAGAAACAATATTCTTCCAAGTAGGAAGCATTTCCAGAAGTGTTCTGATATCAAGAGTGATGCTTCTCTTAAAAGCTACATAACACACAACCAAAATTCTTAAGATGGTCTAGAGGGTGACTTTTCAAAGACCTGCGCTTTGCACGGTAATCTAACTCACACCCCTGCATGTACCCACGAAGGCCTTACTCTACAAAAAAACTAGAAATTCCATGATGTCTTTATATTTACATGGAGTTTGATTCATGTCCATGTTGGAATATGGACACCACCTTGGGTTTCTTGGCATACTTTTTCCTTTCGAAGGGGATTTCTGGAATCGCACACGTGAATTTAACCAACAGTGCTTTGCTATTGCTGGGTACACTGAACTGTGCGTTACTGACTTTGTGCCCCAAGAGTACAGTCAGGTTTCGATTCTGACAAAGAAAAGAGTGGACCTTTCAGTGCATCATAAAGACAAAATCTTGGGAGAAGATAAAAACTGGGGGGGGAGGGTCAGCCCCCAAATACTGTTAACAGTCAAAAAGGAATCATTGTGTTTCACCAGCACTGAGCATTAGACCCAGTGCAGTCTCGTGTCTGCCGTTACACAAGGCTCAGTGGGTTTTCCTCCAGCCTCCAGAGTTGCATTCCCATCAAATCAACCCAACACCTCCCAGCTCAAACAACATTTTAAAACCACCTGTCCCAACAGGGACTAAAACAAGTGGTCCTTTGTGCCCTGGTGAGATGTAGACCTGCAAGCTTCATCCCATCATCCCATCATTTATTCTCAGCACTTTGATCAATTCCTCAGAACCTAGCTTTCTCATTCTGTTTCATTCAATTTTAGGAAAGTCTTGCATCTACTCCCACGTGTTCCTTCCATCTTTACCCAGCTAGCCAAAACCTTGGAGGGTTTTCTTGGGGGGCGGGAGGCTGTCGAGAGGGACCATCACCTGTGAGTCAGGGCTAATGTGCACACATTGCTCAGCAAGCACTCCTGGTGATTTCTGCTTCTGTCCAGCCTTTCACTGGATCCAAGTCTTCTATGAAGTTCTGAGGCAGAGGTTCAAGATGCAGAGGGAGACCCAAAGAAGTAGGAGAGAGGTGGCCCATGCCTTCCGGGGACACTGAAGAGACTGGACGGACGTCTCTCTTCTCTTTAAATGTCTGTACTTCTAACAAATGAAGCCAAGCTGTTCTGAAAGGATTTGTAGGGAACTGGGGAAATAATGCTTTTAAATTCAGGGCATTTATTTTAGGAGGTGGGGAGATGCAAAAGACAATATGGAAGAGCAAAGTGAAGACCGTGGCGGTTCTCAAATAATCTCAAGACAGAAGGAAGTCTGGAGGTCGGAGATCCGTTTGCAGTGACAACCTCTCTCACAGGCTATCATTTTCATTTTTAATTTGTGTCTTCCAATTCTGCTGTTACCGCCCTGCGGAAAACGCCACATAAATCAAAACCACTTTCACCTCCCCTCCTGAAAGACAGCGGGGTCCCAGTTCCTACACACTCGATGGACTGAGACGCGCAGACGACATGCCTCTCCGCGGTTCCAGGCCTCCACTCAGTTTGCAGAGGCATCTCTAGGGTCGGCCCGGCCCGGAGAGCCGGAGCCCAGAGCCACGCCCGGCGCAGGGCTCGGGTTTTGTCCCTAGAAAAGTCAGCCACGTCGACAAGAGGGTGGGCGTGAACGCGGGAGGAGCACAGGGGGCTGGCGAGCAACTCTGGACAAGTTCCCCCCGAGTCCAGTCGCCCTTGAGCTCTTGTTTTCCTATTGAAAAGCCAGAAGAATTGGGAGGACGGGCCCCTGCCCCTACGACGCCCCCAGAGCGGAGCAGGGGTCACGGAAATGCTAGCACAGCCCTCTGCTTTCGGGACACTGAGTCGGTGGCACCTCGGCTCGGCGCCTGCCACCCGCGCAGGCCTCCTGGCTGTCCCGCCCCACCACCTACTGGGGGCACCCTCATAAAGGAGCCACGTCTGGGCCCGGAGCCTCAGTTTGTCACACGTCCTTAGAAAGCCTTTCCCCTGCGTCCCTCTCCAGCTCCCCTCCGGGACACGCCTCTCTGAATCCTGCCGCGTCCTGTCCTTCACCCTCCGCGTTGGTCTCTGCGGAACTGAGCGCTCGTCCCCACGTGCCCACAGCGCGCCACCCACACCCATTCCCCCCGGAAAGCAGTCACCGGCTTAAAACAGTTTCCTCTTGGTGCGGCTCCCAAGAGGCTCTGCCCAAAGGGTTCTAGCAGCTCTGGAGCCGACTGCTCTCCCCGGGTTCAGACCCGCGTCTGATGGGGGGGAGAGGTTCCCGCCGCCCCCGGGCCCGGGCCCCCGCCGAGCCGCTGAAAGGGAGCGGACTCAGTGCGCGTGGCTGGAGGGCCTCCCGGGGTCCCGGGCGCCCGGATTGGCCAGCTGCGCCTAGCGACCTTCATTCATTAATAAATTAGTGGCACGCTCCAGCCGAGCGCGAGCCACCAATCACGGCGCACGGCGGCGGGGACCGCCTTGGCCTCCGCGCTCGGACTGCAGCCTCCAGCTCCAGCGGGAGCTTCGGAACCATTTTATGCTGATTAGATAAAGGGGGGAGGGGGGTTGGCAGGCGGGGGAGGGGAAGAGGGCAACGAGAGAAAGAACTGAATGGTGATAAAGCCATGAAAGGGAGAAGGGGGGGCAGTCAGAGGGGAAGGGGAGAGGGAGGGGGAGGGCCCGGGGGCGATCCGATTGTTTTCTGGGGGGTATATAAGGGGTTTTAAGGAGAGTCGTGTGCCAGACACGCAGCCAGTGAGCCACGAGCCGCTCCGTTTGAACCGGAGTGCCTAGGCGTCGCGTGCCGGGCGCCGCCGGCCGGGGGTTGAGTGACAGACGGACACGCACCACGAGCACACGCACGAGACCTGCGCGGGAGGAGCACGCGTCCCGCCCAGGCCGCACGCGCGTTTGGAGAACAAACAGTAAGTGTCCAACTCGGTGGGCGGTTCCCGTACCACATCCCGCCGCTTGCAAATGCCCTGGGCTCGCGCAGATCTTTGTCCCCGAGACTGTCCCTTCCCGGGCGGACGACGCAGGACCCGAAGGGCTGGCGGCGGATCCCCACGCGGGGCACCAGAGGGCTTCCTTCCTATCTGGGCTCCTCTCGGGCGCGCGTCCCCGGGACATCACGAACATGGCTTCGCTTCTGGTTAACGCCCATTTGGTGTCCCCTCTTCCCCCGCTCTCTTCGGCAGGATGTTCGTCAAGTCCGAGACCCTGGAGATGAAGGAGGACGCAGACATGCTAGTGCTCCTCGGCTCGGCCCCCTCCGCGGCCGCGCGGACCCCGCTGCCGTCCAGCGCAGACGAGGACGACGAAGAGCGGGGCCTGCCGGGCGGGGCGCGAAGGCCGCGCGGTGCCGGGTCGGTCACACGGCTGCTCGGCCTGGCACACGAGTGCCGGCGGCGCCCCTCCAGGGCACGGGCCGCTACGCGGGGCGCCAAGACGGCCGAGACAGCGCAGCGCATCAAGAAGACCCGCCGGCTTAAGGCCAACAACCGCGAGCGCAACCGCATGCACAACCTAAACGCGGCGCTGGACGCGCTGCGCGAGGTGCTGCCCACCTTCCCCGAGGACGCCAAGCTCACCAAGATCGAGACCCTGCGCTTCGCGCACAACTATATCTGGGCGCTCACCGAGACGCTGCGCCTGGCCGACCACTGCGGCGGGGGCCTGCCCGGCCCGCTGCGCCCCGAGACTGCGCTGCTGAGCCCTGGCGGCGCCCTGGGCAGCGTGGGGGACAGCCCGTCGCCCGCGTCTACGTGGAGCAGCACCGACAGCCCCGCGCCCCCCTCCTCTGCACCGTCCACTTCCACCTCCCCCTACAGCTGCGCCTTCTCCCTCTCCCCCGCTAGCCCCGCAGGGTCCGACCGGGACTGCTGGCAGCCGGCTCCGCCCAACAAGCGCCGCTGCGCGCCTCGCCGCCCCGCAGTCCGGGAGTGCGCCTAGGCCGAGTCTCCGCTGGGCGCCGGGCCTCCGGTCCCTGTGCCGCCCCTGCCGTCGTCGCCCCGCCCCTCTCCACCCCACTTCCCGCGCCCTGGAAACCGACTAGCGTCCGGAGCAGACGCAGACGTCCGGCTCCTCTGCGGTCTGTCCCCTGGCGAAGGACTTCCTTTATCTAAGTTATTGAAGCTGAGACGGAGCGGACCGTCCAAAGGATGGTCGAGTGCAGGGGGCGCTGCTTAGGCCTAAAAAGACGCTGGGAGGAAGTGGCGGTGGCAGATACGCCCCCAGCGCCCCCGTCCCCCAGCGCCGAGGACTCCGAGTGAGTCTCCTGGGCACGCAATGTGCCCCTTCGTCCCGTCACCTCGGCTTCTGCATAGAGATGTTAGTGTCGAGTAGAAAGAAACGCATCCCGGCATCTGAATGACGTTACTGGTAATAATATTATCCACAGACCCGCGGCCCTGGCACCTGCTGGTTCCCAGCGCTGTCTGCGGGCGTGGGAATCCCACCTGTCAAACCAGCCCCCTCCCACCCGCACTGCGCTCTGTTCCCAGAGTCCTCGAGACGCCCATTGTCCCGTCCTCTTTCCTCTTTCTTCTCCATTTTGCCATCTGTCTCTTATGATTTATAAGGAAAAGTTGTTTTGTTAGAGGCCAGGTTAGAAGTCATTGTATAATTTGTAGGCTTTGTACTGGTTGAATGCAAGCGTGGAAATCTAGGCTGAACTTTCTATCGAAGGGAAAATGTGGAGGAAAAGGGAAGGGGGGTGCTTCATGCATTATTTATCTCGACCTTTAGGGGAGAGGAAACTCCCCTGTTCTTTCAAGAGATTAAACATAAATCAATAGACTGAAAACCTGAGCAGGCTCGCACGTGCTCCCTTCTATTTATTATAAAGAAAAATTTCATGGCAAAAGTATGTATTTTTTGTATATTCAACAGAGTTTATTCTAGTATGTATTTACCTCTTGGGGAAAAAAAAACAAGGAAATTGTTCTTGTGATTAAACTATAAATAAAATATCTAATTTTCATAATATTTGTCTGTAGAGTTATAACTTTTTCCTATTTGTATGGTTTTCAGAAGAATAAGTTGTCTTTTTCTGAAAATTTTCCTATATCAAACTGAGTAGAATACTTGTGTTTCTCACCAATGTTTGTGTGTGGAATCACACGAACACATAAGGGCTAAGAAACCACAAGGCGCTGGGTTATATCTGAAACACTGATACTGAGAGAAAGGTGTAACTCTCAGGACACACAAAACTTGGTTTTTAAGAAATCAATTTCTGAGCAAACAAGACTAGTAAAAGGGGTGGTTCCATGGTACTAAGTCATGATGAGCTTCAACGTTCAGACTTTGTAAACTAGTGAAGGTGAGACTTCTTGGTGGAATGTGTAGAAATGTGGTCCTTGCCCTAAAGTCTGAGTTTCAGTGATCTGTAAGCGAAGGGCCCTCTCACGGGGATCTCTAGGCTGCCCAGGGACTAAGTTCATCACAGGGAGCTGATTCAGTGACCATCGTAACAAGCTTGTTGGTTAAGACAAACTCCCAGAGAAAAGAAAATATTCAGAGTGAGCTGAAGGAACAGCTGAGCTTCCCGATCGTCTTTGTGGAAATAATTACATAGTCAAAACTTCTTCAAAGAGAAAGCAAAAAAACGGTTCCTAGTCTCCGAGACACATAACTCTAAATCGTGCACCTCCATCTCCAAAGCGGAAATAAATGACCTTTGACTGGCCTTGGGTCTAAGACGACCACGTGAAGGCTGACCACATTTTAGGTTTAAGCCTCTTGACAATACAAGCTAAAATAAATCACGTTTGCAAAAAAAAAAAAAAAAAAAATTTGGTTATTTGAGCCTCCCCATAAATTTCTTATCTGCTTCTGCACAAAACAAGGGAGGTTTTCCCTGAGACGTCTCTGTGAAACTCCTCCTCTCCATCCAAACGGAAAGTACTGTTAGTATTTTACATAACTCCATTTTTATCGAAGGAAGAACCAACCCGTGGTTTGTTTAGTTTTCATAGCTGGACAACGCCCTCTAATTTAAAGCTTGAACTGTTCTTGGTTCGTCTTATCTGATAGGAGGGGAAAGTGATTCTTCTCTTATAGTCGCATGTATGTTACTAGTACTGAACAGGCGAAGCTTGCAGGCCGAGCAGTTGTAGTGAGAGTTTCAAAACATCCCATTTCAAAGCTAAACAACTGTTCTGGTGATGGCGCCCGGGAGTGTGCCCTTCTGGTCCCCGGACCAGGTCTGTGGCCACAACGCCCCAGGTGTAGTTACTCTTCCAAGGCCGACAGGTGAGGCTACGGGTTTGGGTGGAGAGGCCTAAGTCGGGGTGGTCCAGAGATTCCCCCCACACAGAGCTGAATCGGGCCCGAAGCCGCCTCCGCGGAGCGTTCAGGCAGGTCCCCAAACTCGCTCGGGCGTGATCCGCACGCGGACTTTCCGGGCCGGGTTCAGAGCAGACCTCGTGCTACGCTACATTGGCGCGTGATCTTCCCGGCGTCATCTTGATCACTTTCAGCGTCTGAGCAGGACGTTCCAGCCTCACTGCCCCCGGCCCCCCGGTCCCCCCCGCCTCCCCGCGGCGTCCTGCCCCCCTCGGCAGGAACGGCAGTTCCGGGCACAGCTCGAGCGGGGGACGTCGTGGCCCGCCCGTGTCGCCCCACCCCAGGCGGCGAAGAGCCCCGCATTCCACTCCTGGCTGCTCGTCCACATCAGCTTCGGAGCGGCCCCGAGGTGCCCCTGCGGCGGGACCTTCGCAGCGGGCGGGTCCTGGGCTCAGTCCCGCGTCAGGCGTCCGCAGTGCTGTTCGTTCTGACCCGGCCCTCGCTCCGGCTCATTTCTCCCGGGACAGGTTTTACGTGTCCGCCCGAGGACGGCCAAGGAAGGGGAGGAGCAGCGAGGCCGGCCGGGAGTTTGGCCCCTTCGCCCGCCTCGTCCGCGCACCGCCCTCCCCGTGGCTCATCGGCAGGTGTCACGCAGGGCGCGCACACCTGTCGCCGCGGCCTGCTCCTCCTCCCCGCCCCCTGCCAACGCTAATGCAGTGAATCCCGCATCCTGTTCCCGCCGCGCGGGGCTCGGGGTCGTGAAAGTCCGGAGTCCCAGTCCGCGAGGGAAACGGTGTAAGCAGAGGGTCCGTGAGACCAGCGAACGCAGCTCCCGCGCTGGGGCCGCTGCAGGGCGTCTGCGGGGCTGCGGTCTCTCGCCTGGCAGGGGCTCATTGTGTGATGAACAATTCCCTCCACTTTATTCTTCAAAAGTGGGGGTTTGCATAATCACCGCTCTGGGCGTGCGGGCGGTCAGCTGCCGCCTCCTTTTCTCTAAGGACCCACTTTAATGATTAAACTTAAGGAATGTTCCCAAAAGGGGAGGGGGTGACAGACGCGGGCTGTCCCCTTCCTGTCTGGAAGCTCCGAGTCCAGCCCGAAGCCCTGGGTGGGTGCGAATCCGGGAGGTCTGCCTGGAGGCGGTGTCCCATTGCCCCGCCAGTTCCTTTCCCAGTTGATTTTCTCCCACCAGACGGCGCTGCGGTTTGTGGGCTCCAGGGTGAGCCCCTGGTCTGTCCCCGGGGGAATCCAGGTCCTCGGGAACGCACCTGGGCGGTGTCAGAGGGGCTCGGTCATCTCAGGCCAGAATGGGACAGCCGGGTGGCGGTGGCGGACCTCTTATTTCCAGCGAGGTGACTGCAGCGAGTGACTGTTGGTCCCCACGGTGCCAGGGTGTCGGGAGGGAGGAGACGGAGGGGCTCGGTCTCTGCCGCGCACCTGCTTAGTCAGCTGGGGCCATTGAGGGACCGGCGCGGAAGGGCCCAGCTCCTGGCACCGGACCTGAGGCCTCCGGACCTGAGGCCAGGACGCTGGGGAGCGGCGGCTGTCGGGTCGCAGCTCTTATCAACACTCTTTCTACTTAGATTTCGCTTTTACTGTTCAAGCATTCGGTTTTCTCCATATCCAGCGTCTCACAAAAATCCCATTTCTTAAGAAGCGGAAGGACTTGGGCTCCGAGATCGCCCCCAGTGGGAGCCCACTTCCCACGGTCCGTTGGGTCCTGGTACCGCGGACACTGTCGGGGATGTGAATTCCAGGCCCCGAGAGACAAAAAGTTGTTTCAAAGGACACATGTCCGAGACAGGCTGGACCGCAGCTGGCCTTCCGAGGCCGTGAGGAGGTGCTTGTCCGGCCCTGTTGGATGTGGGGCGGACTCCAGTGTCTTCATTTCTCCTCCCTCTCCCAGGGCTCCAGGTCCCCCCTCTTCGCGGCCCTCCCTCCAGGACCGGGGGGCACCCGGAGACAGTAAACGACGGGCAACACTCCACCAACCCTCTCGCCCATCGTATCTGAGGACACAGCGAGGAAAAGTGCTAAGGTCCTTGGAGAGGGAAACAGGACCCTCCGAATACGCGGGGACCGAGGGCCGTTCCCATGGCAGCCGCTGGCAATAAAGCCTAATTCCTTGTGACAAAGAGGTCATCTTCCTTTTCAGACCCTCTGCGCATTGTATTTTCGCATAAAAGCTTCTGCCAGGGCCGGGGCAGCCCTGTGGCTCCGGGTGGGGGTGGGGTTACTGCCTCCCAGGTACAGAGTGGGGGGAGGAGCGAGGCGGGGCACCTGCGGCCTCCTGGCCTCCTTCCCGCCGGACGCAACCCTGCTACGCACGGAAACCGGTTAAAACTGAGGGCTCCCGGGAACGCGGATTTTGTACGTTTCCAACCTTTTACTTCTGAAACACCAACAAGAGTGATTCATGGTGAGGACAAGACATTTATTTTCTTGCCTCTGTTCCCGGATCATTCTGGAAAAGAAATCAGTTGAGGAAAACCTGTGGAACTGCGGAGGGAAATCTAACCACGAACCTCAGACAAGTGTGTTAATACACGAGTACTTGCTTCTCCCACATCAGCGTCCAGAATGGCCAGACACACTTTTTTTAAAAAAAAATCAAAGCTGTCTAAACGGAAATGTTTTTCTTGATTCTCAAACTTCCATGGAAG